ATTGTAATGCAGATTACCTACTCTAGGGCCTAGGTGTAGCACTCACATCTCCAACCCCAGCATTAGATCAGGAATCAATCAAACTCCAGAAGCCATCCCATGACTGTCTGAGGCTTTGGAGGGACAATTAGATACAAACCACAACAATAAGTAAAAATTTCATTTTCTGTAAAGTGATAAAGAGCTCTTTTGAAAGGATATGAGTGTTCTACTCAGGGTTAAAGCTTTCACTTGGGTATTTCAAGTAATAATAACAAAACACACAAATACATCACTGTATCTCAATGACTGGTAGATACTGCCAGTCAGATAGAATATCATTGGTTCCCCACAACAACCCTATGAATTGGGATCCTAGGCTTTGAGACTTCATGTGTCTGGCCCAATTTCTCATGGTCAGTGAGTGACAAAGCTCAGCTTCATAATCAGAGGACATGATTCACAGTGCATGGAAATACCCCAACATTTTAAACAGAGCTGGCAGCTGTCTTGGCAACTTTTCTAATAATAGTCCCCTAGTTATTTCTAATTCTGATTGACTTGATATAATGCAAACCATTCAGCAGTATGATATGGATAAATATTGCCTTTTCAAAACATTGCACAAATACATGGTTTCCTCTCTCTTTCTACCATGTAGGAAAAGTAGGGGAAGGTAAGTTAATAGAAATTTACTTCCAAGCAGTAAAACCTTCTTATCCATTGGGCAACCACTGAGGAGACTCTCTAGTTACCAAGGAGACCATAACAGATTCCATTGGATTTGAGTACAACACTCGGGTTGCCTGGCAAATGAATGCCAGAAAAGCAAAGGAAAATATTATCATAGTTTAAATCATTTGATGTCCATGACTAATTATAAACATGTTGGCAAATTTAATTTTTCAAACTGCCCAAAGGACTTGGGTAAAGCTCTGAATTAACTGCATACAGCAGTTCTGTCTGGAAACTAGGGGAAAAAGGCAATACTATTAAACTATTTTTTAAAGAATCTGAACAATGGTAAGGTCCCAGTAGAAATGTCAGATAATCAATCTAGGTCTTTTATTCAGTTTTTAACTTAAATCTAACCTTATACCTCCCCTTTCCCTGTAGCTAAATAAAGTTCTACAGAACCCACCAGTTTTCTATCTGATTTCTTATGAATACTAGAATTTATCTTCAAGGTGTCCCTAACAAGTGTTCCAACCCTAGAAGATTCAAAGGCTGAATGTAGGGGTTAAGCCAAGTGGAAAGAAGAGAGGCTGAGTCAAACTTCTAAATACCTCTCAGCCTAAGTCCTTGAGGTGACAATGGCCTTCCCTGCAGTGGTCGCCCAGTCCCGCTTGATCACTGCCAGAGCAAGAGGTCCTTGCCAGGACCCATCCTACCTTGATGTGAATGAATCTCTGATGTTGGGGGTGCTTGCTCAGGGAGTGCCAAAACCTGCCTCCTCCAGATTTCTACACACTGTTCTTGTGGTATCAATAGAACAATACCCTTCAATTCAACTTCCTCCTCTCCTGAATGGTCCCTTGTGTAACTGAAGGCAGTTATCATGACTGTCCTGTGTATGGTCTTCTTCAAAACAATTAACTATCCTCAGTTTCCCAGTAGATCATAGGGCAAAAATACAAATATTACAACCATAAGAAGAGACAGCACACATAATTAGTAAGAAAGAAAAACAAAAAGGCAGTCTGGAAATTATATTTTTAAAAAGCAAACATTTCTTAAAGGAAATCTTGAGAGACTGTGGAAGTTCAGAATGTATGCTTAGCTCTAGGTTCAATCTCTGGCTCCAAAACACACACACACGCATGCACGCACGCACGCACGCAGACACGCAGGCATGCACGCAAATTGAATCTTCTTAACTGATGTTAAGAAAAGCTGTGTTTGTAATGTAGAGTCCTGTATTCTGTCAAGTCATCCTGTCAAAATAGAAATGTAGACTAAGAAAATTATAGACACCATGCCAGCACGTAGTGCTAGCCCAACAATTCTCACCCTCTGCATAGCTGTGACTAGATTCAGGAATGTGAGCGTCACTATTATGAAATAAGAAGGAGGGCATGGTGAAGAAAGAAAAAAAATTCCCCTGTTATCTTAGTGTGAAAAATTTCAGGCACACAGAAAGGTTAATTAATTTTATAGTTCACCATATAGTCAAACAACTAATTCTCTGCTTAACATTTTGCTACCTTCAGTGTGTCTTATATCTATTCCTTTCTCTATTTGTGGATCAGTCCAGCATACTTCTTTTTTGGTAGGGGGTACTGGGAATCAAACTCAGGGCATTGCTCTCAGCAGACAGGTGTTGTGCTGCTGAGCTACATCCCCAACCCTGGTCTAATTTTTAATGTACTTCTGTGTAACTTGCTTTCATCAGCATACGTAACCTTCAGCACTTCAACTTACATATCATTATCAGAGGTTTTGCTTGGGGTTTGGGTTCTTTTTTGGGGGGGAGAGTGGTACATTTATTTAGCTCGCATACCCTTCTGAATCTTTTTTGTAACACTTCCCTTCATTTTCTTCACTTTCTCAATTTTTGTTTCTACTTACTTCTGCTTTTCTCAAAGTTCTAAGTGGTAAAAGAAAAGTGTGAAAACACAAATGCGGAACACTATTAAAGAAACATCAGATGCCAGGTGTGGTGCACCTCTGTGATCCCAGAACTGGGGAAGCTGAGGCAGGAGCATTGCCATGAGTTTCAGGCCATGCTGGACTATATAGAAGGACCCTGTCTAAATCAAGCAAGCATCAGAAAAGATCACTGATGACCATCCAGAGCTACTGGTGACTTGGGGTGGACAAGGTCCTCAGGAACAAGCTGAAATCAAATCAAATGAAATCACAGAAGAGGAAGATTTGGATTAGCATGACAATTTAATAATTCACTACAAGAAACCCAGCTGTCAAATGCCCAGACATGTTTCCTGATCACTCAGTCTCTACTTGAACTAATTTACACAGCTGCCCAAATTAGGGAGGCTTTTAGTGAGTGGAGACTCGAATGAAGGAAATCTGAAGGCTTTAGGGCTGGAGGGAGAGATCATATCAATCTTGATGTTTCAAAAGCCAGCCAGGAGAGTGCCTGACACCAAGGAATCCCAATTCCTTGGCCACTCTAGGAGAACTGTTGCAAAGAACAGGCATCTGGGTTGTGTCGAGGGCATTTTTCACCTGGGTTGCGCAGGGTGAGCCCTCCAGCCTGCTGCACAGTTGCTTGACTGCCACTTTTTTTATTTTTATTTTTATTTTTTGTATTTTAGGGAAGGGTCTACAGGGTATCCGGGGTCTCACCGAGTGGATCGTAGATCGGATTCATAGTTATACTCCTGTTTACATCCTCCCAAGTGCTGGCATTACAGGCATGCACCACCACGCCCAATCTTAGTTTCTGTCTCAGCATGTCCCAGAGGCAGGCCAGCACAGTAGGCCTGGGGCTTGAACCCCAGGCCCCTGCACCTGCTTGTAGGTGCTTTAATCTGCTGAGCGATTTGGCTAGCCCTAAATGTATTTATTTACTTATTTATTTGTTATTTATTTTTTTATGTATTATAGTACAGGGTCCACAGGGTCTCACTACACAGATTGGACTTTGTAGCAATCCTTCCTGTTTTTCAGTCTCTCAAGCGCTGGAATTACAGGTGTATGCCACCACTTCTACTCTCATTCACCATCTCAGCGCACCCCAGGGATAGGGACCCCAGCCCCTGAGTCTGCCTAAGCAGGCGCTTTAATCTGCTGAGCTATTAGGCCTGCCCCTTTGACTGTCACTCTTTTGAATAACACATTCCCTCTTAGCCATATTTACCATCCTGTGTTAGATCTAGAAGACAATCTCGTGCTCCCTGGCCCCTACCTGCTAGGGATCAAACCCACAGCCTCACACATGCTAGGCAAATGCTCTGCCACTGAGCTAACCCAAAAACCTGCCTTTAAAATAGGAGGTCCGGGGCTGTATAATCTCCTCTTTGATACTCTGATCTCATTGGCTTTTCTCTCAAAGAAGACAGTGAGTGACTCTGTGGTGCTGGAGGCCACACAGGCCATAGAAGAACAAGCACTTCCCTAGTGTGCAAAACTAATTTCTTTCCCTATCTCAAGAGTTATGTCTGGCAAGCAATTTTAGTCATTCATTTTCCGGGCTTCATAATTACAAGCCCGCAAAGACTTGGCAAGGTGAGCTCTCTGGTGGGAAGGCAGCAACCCAAAAGCAACACCAAAGTACAAACACAGCACTTGTCCCAACAGACAGTTGCTCAGTGTTGCAGATGAATCCAATTTTGACAAATCAAATCCCCTTTGAAATCCATGAAAGGAGCTTTCTATAAAGTCTCAAGGTGCATCCTTTAGTTACGTAACAACTACCCAAGGTGATTACCCCAAACGCTTAGATTTTAAAACAAGACTATTGTTACAGCAAGGCTTTCCTGTCTCCTACTCATTAAGAACAAGCCTACCCTATCACCTGCCCTCATGTAGCTACCTTAATAAATATCTATAAACATCATCACTTCACGGTAACAGCATCCACTTTAGAGTGACTGCAGATGATACTCAAATATAGAGGCAGTTCAGAATTAAGGCTCTATTTCAAGTGAGTCTATGTATAGTCTGGAAAAAGAAAGTAACAGCTTAAATACCAACCCCCAAATAGACTTTCTCTTTAATTGCCTCTATTATAATTGGCCAGACCACAGGGTTCAGATTCGGATTAAAAATCTTCGTAGAGGCTAGCTGATGTTGTAGAAAGTGGGTTTTTATTGCCGAGGATTAAAGTGTTCTGACGGCATGCACACTGTCGCTGACCTGCAAGGACTCCATCTAGACAAAAGGGACAGTTCTCTGAACTGAGCTCCAAAGGCAATGTTTGTTCAGACATCATTAATTCTTTTTCTTCCTTTGATAAACCTGTCTCTAGTAATGGAAACTTTGTTGTTGATTTTGTGTGTGTGTGTGTGTGTGTGTGTGTGTGTGTGTGTGTGTTTTGTTTTTGTTTGTTTTTAAAGAAACTACAGCACCAAAAAAGAGTGAAAAAGCTACAAATTGATTTGGCAACAACGAAGCAAGAGGCTGCCATCGCGGTGCTGGAGCTCAATGAAAAGATAAAGACGCTCTGCGAGGGAGCGCCAACCCCTAGAGGTCAGTGTTCCCACGTGACAGCCGCGCTGGCCCCTCACCCTGGGGGAACCGCAGAGATCCACTGGCAGCAAATGAAGTTGGGAAGCCAGTGCCTGTCGCCCGGCCTGACCCCAGTTAGGGATGAACGGAGACAGAATGCAACTTGCCAGACACAGCCCGGATCCCCTTTGACCTTAGAGGGGCGCAGAATGTGTTGGTGCCTTCAGAAGTCTCTGAAGATGAAGAGCTGGAGTGAAATAGATTTGGGGAGTGTCCCTGAACTTGCTGAGTGACAGGAGGGAAGGGGGGAGCCTCAGAAGGAAGGCCTGATGCGTTGAGGGATGGGGCTCTTGAGTGGAGCCAGGAGCTCATTCAAAAGTGCAGGCTGGGGGCCCCAGCCTCCACTCTGGTCCTATAACTACCTCTAATAAGTCTTTTCCATGTCTCTTTTTAAAAAATGGTAAGCTGGCGGGCACAAGGAAGAGATGAGATTCTTACCAAGGGAAGAGTGAACCAGAAACTAAGCAGGGTAGTTCAGAAAAAAAACTTAATAGCTATATTGATTTTGAGTTTTTAAAATATACTTCTTTTACTAAGAGGCTCTAAATATACTTTCGGGGGAAATCCCTCGGACAGTCACCATTAGCAGCCATACAAGTTAACATTTAATACTACGTGCCAGGCATTTTGCTAAGCATTTCATGTATGCTTTGTTCTCAAAATAACCTCTCTAAGGTAAGTGCGTTTATGGAATCTATCAGAATAAACAAAAGCTTAGAGACATTCATTCGTTTGCTTGAGTCCACGCAAGCACACACACAACGTAGCCTGGCTAGACCGCCCCAGAGCCGCAACTCAGCCCGCGTCAGCCGCTTTCCCCAGCGTTCACAGGCTTTCTCTCTGCTGCATAACAGCAACAGCAACCTAATTTGTCTGATGACCTCCTGCAAAGCTGTGGCTCCCCAAGATAAATGTTTTCCTTTGATGTGTGCCACTCTTGCAAGGCCAGGAACATGCCTTTGTTCCTACTCTGGCTTCCTTTGTTACTCATATGTAATTCTGGAAAAAAGAGGAGCCACTTGGAAACAAACGGAGGAGGAGGCAGTAGGCGAGGAGGCACTTGCAAGGAGGATGTTCCCAGCACAGCGGTGAATTGGTAAAGCTTTCATTAGGCATTTGCTTTTCTTTGCCAATTTTGAAGAGAGCTTTTCTGAGACTCAAATGGCATGTTACAGTGTCACCTTGAGGCATACACTGAAGGTCAGACTTTTTTTTTTCTTTCCACAAAACAGTTTACAAACTTGTTCTTAGTGCCACAAAAGCTAAGCAAATGAAATCCATTAGAGATTATTAAGAAATCATTAGCCTTCTGAAGGTCTTTAAGGCACCATGGCTGGATTTTAATTGATTGCCTAAGACAAGGACCTTAGAACACACTGGAGAAAGTCCTCCAACTCACCTGACAAAAGCTTGCAACTTCTCAACTGTGTCAAACCTAGTCTGAAAAAATATTATTACGAAGCATTTAATTATAATTGCTTTCATTTTTGACACCAACAATATCACTCATCCAATGACAACTTGGTCTCAGATATTTTGATCGGTCAAAATTTAAGTACTGAGTTCCTGGAACATTAATAAATTAGGGGAGACAGAAAATAATAAATTCCATCTTTCTTTCTTTGCCTTTTTTCTCCATAATCTTGTTTTAAAAACTACCAGTAAGAGGGGGAAAAGTTGGATATATTTACTCACAGAAAAAGTGAAATTCAAATATAAAATCATTGTAAGATCTGCTATGGGTCGAAAGAGTGACCCCACTTTTGGACATATACGTTGCTTCTCTACTGCAAGGAGCAACTGAGTTATTAAATCAGCTATGTTCAGAAGTCTTGAATCATATATGAGGATGTGCACAACCTTAGTCTTATGCCTGCCCCGGGCAACCTCAACCTGAATCCAGTAGTCCTGGAGACTGTCAAGATCATTCTGCTTGCAGAGTGACATCAGCTGATGTTTTTAGAGACATTGGTCCCTTTGCCCTGACTCTCAGTTCACTTGAAAATAAAGTCTGAAAAGATATCTAAAAGCTTTCACACACAATGGTCCTTATATAACCACAGAACAATTAGGGCTGCCCCACCCACACACATATTTCTGGATCTAAAACACCACCCTTCCTCTAGTTATCTTGTGGCCTTTGTTTGTGGTTCGGAGACCTAGTTTAAGGAAAAAGGATAATTGACACGTGTAAACAAACCGTGGAGGGGCACCCTGGCTGCCTGCGAGTCCAGCGTGTTTGCGTTCTCAGGCCCCCCGCACCTGCTGCTCCTGTGCATTGAGGCTCCCTTCTATTAAGCTAGGTCTCAGAAGAGACTAGAAATGATGAGCAGCAGCTTTGGGCTGCGATTCCTAACACCTCTTCTCCGGAGAAGAAAGGCAACTTTTTCTTTTCTTT